ACTTATAGTTTTTCAAGTTTTTTATATATGAATTTTTTTTTTTAATTGTTTAATTACAATTTTTTTTTAATAAAAAATTTCTAAAAATTTTGAAATGTCAGCTAACTTTATTTTTATAAAAATTTTTGATTTTTTTTTATTAATTAATTTACAATTAAAAAAATATTTAAAAAAAATTGCACTTATAGCTTTTTAAGTTTTTTACATGTGAAATTTTTTTTTTAAATTCTTTAATTGAAATTTTTTCAATAAAAAATTTCAAAAAATTTTGAAATGTCTGCTAACTTCATTTTCATTAAAACAGCAGTTTTAATCTCTAAATTTATAGCCAATAATAAATCACGAATGTTTAATTTAAAACAGTAATTAAGAAAAAAAAGTAGCGTGTAACACTTACAAGAAAATATTTTATTTTAAACTAAAAAGTAATCGATCAAATTAGATATTTATTTATTAACAATTAACAACTATTAAGGATATTAATTGACTTGTCATACTTGTCATACTATTGGAGTTATTATTATTTGAGCAAGCGTATATTTTTTTAAGTACTTATCGAGTATCACGATCAATTGACCGTGACAAAGCACATTAGTCACGACTATGTATGATAATTTATTTATTTTCATATAAAATTTTAATTCACCCACTGATCTGATTGTTCACGAAAGTTACGTTTTCTTTCTTCATTAAAAAAATAAAAAACGCTATCAATTTTTTGTAACACAATCTCTCTTTCTTATTCATAGCTTTCATTCACTAAAAAATTATTCAACACAATTTTTACATAACTCCGTAACCTGGAAAAATGAATTTATATATATATATATATATATATAAATATAAATTATTCTAATCCTAATACAATGTATCTTCTTTTACATGCAACGCTGTTACTTTCTTCTCCAAATAAAATATAAATCATAACCATAATACTTATCATGTGTAATCCATTAAGAATTTCTTAGAATTTCAACCATTTGATCCATATATCAAAAAAGCATATAAATTTAAAGTTATGAATGTCAATACTAATTATTTAATTCAACAGATTAAATTTAATCATCTGTATGGGGTCAGTGAGCATTGTCATAGGTATCATCATACTAAAACTTTCACTCGAGGTCTCTGAACTCTTCTTCTTATTCTTCTTCTTTGTCATTCTTCACCATAAAAAGTTCTATGTGTGTTGCGTTATGCAGTGGTGTCGACAGGTGAGTCTTTCGCACGCGTTTATTTTTTAAAAGATTGAGTATAAGATGTGATGGACATAGCCACCCAAATAGACAGCGATCAGCAATCCGAAAAATGGGATTGTATGTACAACTAAATGACCCATCTTGTCTTGTCGTGTCTTATTGAAGAGTTAATTAGAGGATAAATTAGTGTTAAACTTTCCTATAAACGAGATCGGTGAAACGTTTACTATTATTAATATGTAAGCATATTTTTTCACACTGTTTTGTCATTTTTTCATCTTAACCATATTTATTTTCAGATAAGTCGGCTCCAGGTTGTCTCGCGTTTAAAATAATTACTCTCACTGAAAATAAAAAAAAAATAAAATTATTTTACTGAAATCAACAGACAGCTGATAATTTTTTTTTTATAATTTATCATGATGAAAATTTACCAAAAATTCACCTGCAAAAATTTTGAAAATTATTAATGTCATTAAAGTTTTTTGATTATTTTTCATTTATTAAATTAAAACTAAAAAATATTTTTAAAAAATTGCACTTATAGTTTTTCAAGTTTTTTACGAATGAAAATTTTTTTTTATTTTTCTGTAATGATTTTTTCGTTAAAAAAAAATTCTAAAAATTTTTAGATGTCGGCTAACTTAATTTTCATAAATTGTTAATGCAAATTTTTTTTAAATATTTTTCTAAAACTGAAATTAGATTAACAATTTAAAAAATTTTTTTTTTATCTAATTATTTATTATAAAAAAATTTGCACTGATAGATTTTTTTAATTTCTATATTTAGAATTTTTTTTAATAGTTTGTATTTTTAAGAACTTATAAAAATTATGACATTAAAGTTAGCAATAATATTAAAGTTAGCAGTCGTTTCATCATTTTTTAATTTTTTTTAATAAATAAATATGCTCCGAAAAATTATTTATAAAAAATTGCATTTTTTATTTATTTAATTTTCTAAATGTCAATTTTTTTTTCTTATTTTTTTTTTTTTTGACGTAATTTATTGGTTAAAAAAATTCTTAAAATTATAAAACATCTGCTAAATTAATTTTCATAAGTTAGCAGTCACTAGAGAATTTTTTAATTTTTTTTAACAAACAAATTACTTTTAAAAAATTTCACTTTTTATTTTTTAAAATTTCTACATGTCAATTTTTTTTTCTAATTTTTTTTTGCCATAATTTATTTAGAAAAAAAAATTCTTAAATATCTGCTAAATTTATTTTCATATAAAAATTATAAAGTGTCTATTAATTTCAGAATAATTAATTTAATTGACAAGTTAAACCAAATGTTGGCCAATTTTAGTAAAATAGAAAATAAAGTAAATAAATACATAAGTAATATATAAAAAAAATGACAAATTGATATTACATGGCAACCTTGACAGAAGTTGCAGGTGTAACGGTTTGGTTGGTGTAAAGTGGCATTGTTCAATTTATATAACCGTATTTTTTATTATGATTTTTAATGTTATATGACATTTTTCCCATCAACAATAACTGAATGGGTCTCATATATTTACTGTTAATCCATAAAGCTTAGATGTATCTTGTTTTAAGTAAAATCGAGCAATGTCTTGGCTCTTAAGTCCCAGTCTTTCGAGTCAAACTCTAAGTATTCAATATTATACATAAGAGAGCAAACAACAGAAGGTATATCAGACACAACACGCAAAGAGCCAATACAAGAGTAAGTGGGTCAGAGAGAATTACCACAATACGACATGAGGAGCCAACAGAACCGATTGCCGTCAGTCTCGTGAGGATTGCCCAGGAGTCAACAGGTGCCAGACAAGTTTTTTGGTTTTCGTGTGCAACTTTAACACGTACCCCAACGTCACGACTGATTGTCCAGTCAAAGTGCCCGTGTTTTTCATTGAGGACGCAACGTGCCATGATTTTACAATCCTATATTCATTAATTTATTCCAATTAATATTTAAAAACAACATTAACAAAATGAAGCTACAGGTAATTTTATTTTTTATTACTTAAGTTTTATAATTACCTGATTAATTCCATCGCAATTAATGTTTACTCAAATTTATATAGAGCGGAAATTTAGTGAATACGTGATATGTATGTGGGTGTACGTGATTCACGGTTCGCGGGTATTAATAATAATTCTTTTATTTCCTGACTTCCGGTAGTCTTCTTTTTCAATTGTTATTTTTCAAAGGTTTGCTATCAATTATTTGTTCATGATGAAAATCAAGTTAGCTGACATTTCAAAATTTTTAGAAATTTTTTTATCCAAAAAATTTCAATTGAACAATTAAAAAAAATATATCACGTGTTAAAAACTTTAAAAACTATAAATGTAATTTTTTTAAAATATCTTTTTAGTCATAATTTAATTAAAAAAAAAAAATCAAAAATTTTTTAGACGTCTGCTAACTTCAGTGTCATTGCTCATGACTTTTTTTTTGTAATTATAAAAATTCTTGTGATACTGAAGTTGAAAAATATTTTTGAATTGTTTTTAATAAAAAAAAAAAAAAAAATCGTAAAAAAATTATAAAAAATTGCACAAGTAGAAATTTTAGAAAAATGAAAATTCAATTTTTTTAGTACACAGAGAAAAAATTGTTTTTGAAAAAAATGGGCATTGTTGTAATAAGAAATTAATTTGTTGAAATTTTTGAACTATTATTTTTTAGCTGAAGAAATCCAAAATTTTCTCACAGTAAATTTCTGGTTGAAAAAAAGATTTTTTGATTTAAAAAAAAAAAAAAACAATTTTAGAAAAACAACTTGTAATTTTTCAAAATTGTTTTTTTCCAAATGAAAAAAATTTTTTTTTCAATAAGAAAGTTGTGAGAAAAATTTTTATTTCTTCAGCTAAGAAATAAAATTATTGAAAATTTCCAACAAATTAATTTCTTATTACAACGATGTCTACTCGCTTCAGTCATAATTTATTCTATAATTTTAACAAAAACAAGAAAATTGAAAGTACATAAAAATTCCGGTTTAAAAATTAAAAATTTTGACAAATAGGAAAATTATTTTTATATTGTTAATAATTTATTGAAGAATTGACAAATAAAAATTAAACTTTATAGCAATTTTACTGCGATAATAATCCAAAATAATTAAAAAAATTATCTTCAAGTTATTGAAAGTATTTTTTTATAATATTTACATCTATACCTATCACATGACGAGAAAGTGACCTATCAAGTGTCAATAAAATTTCTAATCTGATGAATATCATTATGAGAAAAAAAAAAAAAAACAATAATTTGACCAAATGTAAATAGAATTAAGAACAAATTAAAATGCATTTTTACATAAAAGCTATTAAATTTCTCTGATGCTTCATTTTGACGTCTGATGATCTACTAACTTATTTAATATATGTATCCATACATTATTATTTAATGAAATGAGTATACTGGATTATATTGTAGACATTTAATTGTTCTATATTTAAACTTAATAGCCGGTAATTCTAACAATGACAGACATTCGCTATAATTTAACAATGTAATTTTATTTCTATCATTCGATAGCAATTTATTTTAAATGTGAGCTTGTGAGAAAATTATTAAATTATTGTTATAAATTAAAACTTTCGAAAAGCAATCATTCTAAATGCAAAGAACCTAGGGTTTTTTTTTCCGAGTGTACGCAAGAGAAAGAGCTGGAAAACATGCATATGCACACATATAATTTAACCCAAGTAACAGAATTATAAAAACTAATCACGCATATTTCAATTGAATTAAAGGCTAAGAATTATCATCATCATTATTATTATAAAAAAAGAAACTCGTAAAATAAAATAAAATGAAAGTGTGTATTGAATTAAAATGTGTTTTTTATCTTACAGATAACGATTTTAATCTTGGCGGCGAGTTTATTACCGGTGATTGCTCAAGTACCTAAGCCAAGTTACACTAGAACAATGTTAAAGGTGTCGAGAAGTCTTCCAGGACAGACAGAAGAGTTAAAAGTCCGTACCGCTGAAGGAAATTTCGCAACTTTGGTAGTTAAACGTCGGGAAAAGTCAGAAGCTTTTAAGAATAATTCCAATCCAATTACCGAAGCAGCATCTTCAGTGTCTTTATCTTCATTATCACATTCAAATGATTCCAATGGAACAAATGCCGAAAATGTTACTGATGTAAATGAGACGAATAGTGAAGAGAAAGTTAGCAAGAATGAGCTAACGTACGTGAAACCTGAGACCCAGACCTCCCAGAGCAGTGACAGGAAGATGGATTACGGAAGCTGGACCCCCTTACATGTCGATGGAAAAGCCTTAAACTTACCATCAACGCCAGAAAGTTATTTAAATTGGAAACCTTTATCGTCAAACGTTAAACCGACTACAGAGGAACGTACTAACTACAGTACTTTGGTGCTGGCACGTAATTTCAAAGATAGAAAAGAAAAATCTGAGGACACCGCGTCTTCATTTGTCGCCCTTGTGCCCCAATTGTCAACGCGCACTAATATCGGCGCTAATTTTTTTAAAAATCGCGACGGCAAAAATGTACCACCAGAGGTAACTGTGAGGTCAGCGATAAATGTCAAGTCCATGCCACACAGGATGCCTATGACTCTGGATCCCGACGGCACTCCAGTTATTCACGGTAAACGTGTTCCTGATGAACCAATTGATAAAATACAGACATGGAGAAATGCTAGAGTGATTAACAATAAATTAGTACTGGGTACTGTTGCTACTAATGTTCATGATGAATCTACAACCAAGTCTTACTTGGATAATAAAGTTGAGAAACAGAGATTCGAACGATTTTTCCAAGATGTTAATCGAAGGTAAATTTTTTTTTTTATATTTATTATTTAGTTTATTTAACTATTCAACACAATGAATGTTACTTTATTATTTATTGATAATGTTGATAAATACAGCTCACGTCGACGAAATATATTTCAATTAAAAAATAACTTGATAGTCTTTTTCAGTAAAAAAGTCCAGTGTAATTGATGATACAAGTGTTTTAAAAAATAAAAATTTCTATCTTTAATTTTAAAAGCCCATTGTCTTTTTGGTATCTTTGGAATTTTAAGTTTAAAGCGACAGTAAAGGCTTAAAATATCTTGAATGAAGTTATTCATATATGAATAAGTTAAGAAGAAAAAAAATTGTCTTTTTTTAATGTTAGTTGATTCTTGAATGACATTTCGAATCCATTGATCCCGAGTGAAAGCTCAGTGAGATTAAAATGTTTAGTAAGATATTTTTAGAATTTCAAAAAAAGATTTTTTTTAATTTTTTTTTTGTACTCAAAATTTTGTTTAATTTAATAATTTTTTTACAAAATAATTGAATTCAAAGTATAAATTTTTCTGTAAATTATATTTTTTTTTTTTTTTTTTTCATTAATTTAGTATAGAAAAAATTTGAAAATTTTTTTTATCCACAACTGAATTTAAAAATTACTAATCATTATTAGAAATAATCTTGAGTTCAGTCAAAATAATAATTTTCTCTAATATCTTCGTTTTTTTGTTTGAAAAGATTATTTTTATTTTTCCTTAATACAATCTTGGTTACTTAAGCATAAAAATACATAAAAAAAAGTTAATCTTCTATTCTTAAATTAAAGATAATTAACAACTGGCTGGTACTTGCTAGATCTCGTTGCTTATATAAATTGTTTTATAGCTAAAACTAAAATATTTTGATATGTCTTTGTTGTTTTGATTTAACACTTAATGGTTAGCACTAGTAGTTTAGAAGATGTTAAAAATTAGGAATTAAAAAAAAAAAAAACATCTGCGACTTTTCTCTATCTTCGTGTTACCAGACACAATTTATTAAAATAGTCATTTTTTACACTGGACAATAAAAAAAAAAATGACTTTATTTTATTCTTAAAATTAAACAGTAATAATAGATAAGAAATGACGATTTAATCGTCACTTTTTAATGAAACAAAATTCTAAAAACGACGGTACTTTCAAAGTGAGCTGTATTCTTGACAATTATCACGTTTTTAAACACAAAAATTATGAAAGACTTATGCAATAATTACAACGAGTGTGACGGTTTTCAGAATTAAAAATAAATAGAATAATAGCCGTTATAATTATTGTACGAGAGAATAGAATAAAGTAACGATTATTGAGTTGAAATAATGAATGCCTGAGCACAAAAGGACAGACAGACAGACGTGAAACGTTGTTTCGAACAGCACGAGCCACCAACAGGCGTTAACCCCGGAACTCTGGATTCGCAGGTACGGCCGCAACTACGATGACGACGATCATTATCACCAGCGTAATGTTTACCTAGAATGGGACCCAGCCAGTCACCGCAGCGCTGCATTGAAGGCTGAAATCTACGAGGCACGAAATGACAACTACCGTTCAAATATACAGAAGCGTATGTTGCATCCAGAAAACACTCAAAGCTACCCTATTTCGCAGATGTACGCGCCTGAAGGTCAAAAAATAGCCCCATTGGTACTTAAGCCTGGCGCGCGTGCTCCAGTTCTTCAGTACGCACATCCAGAGCTCGGAGTTCAACCGGCTAAGATTTTAAAAAGTGAAAAGAAGCGCCCGGATAACTTTCCTGACAACCAGAATTCATTCACCGAGCAACGTCATAAGAAGAAATACGTATTGAATGATAAAAATATTGTTGATTCATACAACACGAGAAATTATTACCCGAATCATCAATTTTATGGTTTGAAGCAACATGTTGAGCCACCATTTTGGATAAAGATTTCAGAAAAACTTAAAAATCAATTCTCCACTGGAGTTGAAAGGGTTTCACAACTGACTAAGCCAGTGATTGATCCCCTGGTTGAAGCGACACATAAAATTTCACAGAATTTAGGACTCTCAAGAGGTACCAACAACAACAACAACAACAACCATGAAGCGCAAGATAAAGTAGGAACAGTTGCTTCGAGCTCGTCAATTTTAATTCCCGCACTTGGACTTGTTGCCTCCGGTGCTGCCTTGGGAATTGGTGCCGTAGCTGTAGGTCGTTACCTTGATGTTGATATGCTGAGACGTTCCAATGAAGATGGACAAACACTCGATGAATACCAAAGAGCGCTTTCAATAGATGCTAATACTGGAGATGCTTCAAATATTTACTATCCCGACAACTCAAAAGTCTCCGAGAATACCAATCAGCAAGCTAATTCTCGGGAACTTGATGGCGGTTTTTTGATTGAAGAACGAGCTGGCGGGGAAGATATCAAAGCTAGAAGGAAAAGAAGTTTGGATCCTCTGGTTGAAGATAAAAATTTCAATGAAGACGTCATGGATGCTATTAATCAGAGATTAAGAAGAACTGGACCTGATTCAATCAGTGACATTGTAGAAATTGACGTTCCTCTACGCGGTAATAGTGAGGATGCAACTAATGAATTGAATGATGATAAAGCAAGACAAATTCGCAGTATTGGTGAAGAAGAAGTCGATAATGTGCTACAAACACTTGATGACGATGATCAAGTTGCTGTTACGCTAGTTCATGGTGACTGGTCTTACACGCCATGCGCTAAAAAAATGTTCTGCGAGGCTATGCTTCAGAGAGGACATGACTCTAGCTTGGTCATGGAGAAGAAAATTGAATCGCTATTTAGACAGTAAGTTATTTTTTTTTATTATATATTTTTTAGTTGTTTTAAATACATTTCAGTTATGGTATTTTTATTTCTAAAGGTTTAGAAATTCGACACTGAAAAACAAATTTTTATAAATATCTTTTGAAGTTTATGGCTTTGGAGAAATTGGTTGAATTATAAATTTAAAATTAAAATTAAATAATTATTAAATTTAAATTATTTTTTATTAAAATTTAAATTTAAAATTTAAGAAAATTGGAAATTTCATGATTTAAATCTAAGAATTAAAATTACTCACGCATTACTTCATAAATTTTCATGAAAATTTTTTTATAAATTTCTTCTTTAAACAATTTATTAAAATATTACTAGTATATAAAGCCGCAGAAATTTTTAAATTTTTTCTAGCTTAAAAATGTGTTAATGAAAAAAAAGTACTTTGAAAGTTGAGCGAAAGTTTATAAAAATGATTTTTTAAAAAATTTAATAAATAAAACAAATAGAATTAGCTTAAATAAATTATAGGAAAAAATCCTGATGTAATATTATTACTTAAAAAAATATCTATGATATTGATATTAATGTTAGTATGCATATGATTTAATTATCGATATAATTAACTATATATCTGGCTTAACCTGTACGGTTAACATTATATAGAATTCTATACGAACTTTCTTCTTTGGCTTTCGCTCATACACATCAATGGCTCGGCATTCTTGATTAAACTTTTACCTCTTAGCATAGTTTCACGGTAATACAATTTACAATTGTATTGTCATGAATAATATGAATAAACTATCAGTAAACATCATTTTATTCGACATAATAACAATGTTTTCCCATAAAATGAAATAAAAAATTTTTATTAATATTTTCACACGTTGAATAATTGAGGTTTTTTTTATTTTACTGTCTTTTTCGCTGCGTAAACATGCAACTATTTGTTAACTTAACAAATTAACGTTGATTAAATAAAATTATTTTTAAGTGCTATATAATTACAGTAATTTCATTATTAAGAATCACTATTTATACTATTAACCAATGACAATGTGCACTAACAGTTATTATAAATTACAATAATAATTTGTTGACACCCTTTCAACGCTTTCTAAAGCGCTGTACTTTTAATACTTTACTATAAAGTTGTGCAATTTTTTTAAAATTTCTTCTCCGTCTTGTCAATTAAATTCTACACTATTGTTTTATTTTCATAGGGTAATGCAGCCCGAGGCTACGCAGCAGGTGTCTCACCATTTCCAGGAGGTCATGGAAGCCGTCAGGAGGCATGACTGTTCACGATTCGCCTGCCCTGCGGCGTAAGCCGATAATGTTATTTATTAGCCATCTGAAATTAATCGAAGTAATACTTAAAAAATTAATACGTTATTTAAGGTTTTATTTATGTGAAATCTAGTTTATTTTTTATTATTTATTATAAAATAATGAAAATAATGTCTATAATAATAATAATATTTATAATTGACGGCGTTTACGAGGCTGTCGTATGAAAAATTACGTTATTTATTTTTCATACGATTTTATAAAACATAAATATTTATTCAATAAGAGACTGTAAAAAATTATATGAAATTATTTAGTTCTCTATTTAATTATTTAAAATAACAAAATATAGTATGAAAGAGATGTATTTATTTTAAAAAAATTTTTTGTTTATAATTATTATATTTTTATGTCATTTATACTCACAATCAATACCGTAAAATACTTTATCAAAGTACTGTCGCTTAATAATTGGCCGACCCTGACTTTACCCTGATTTAAAATAATTTATCATAATTACAAATATAAGATAATTCATTGTAACTACATGATGAGTTTTTTAAAAATTTTAAATCTCATAAAAATTAATCTATTTATAAAAAACAAAAACATATATTTTACTTTGTAAGTATAATTGTTAAAAATGTATAATAAAATAAATTTTTATTACTTACATTCTTATTAAACTGATTATAATTTTTCCATCATCCTTGAAATGAAAACATGCTGCTTTTTATTACGGTTTTAATATGAGATACCCTTAATAGTCGTGTATTAAAGATTCTTAGGAGTAATTTATAATAATTATGTGCAATTACGGGAGTTATTATTAAATAGTTTTTTTTATTATCAATCAAATTCTTGCTTATTTTTACAAAAAGTAGTTTACAACTTTAAAGGTATCAAGTTAGATGTTTCTTCATTCAATCAGATTGAATTCTTCAGAAACTGAAAGAAGATATTTACTTGTAAGTAATACCATAAAATTAATCATAAAGAAAATAAAACTTTGCCAAAAAGTAAATATTAAATTTGATTAAGAAATTTATCTTCTAAAATTTATAGTTTTATCGTAAATTTTACTAAGAATATATTTTAAAATTATTTCTAAGCGTTAACTTCCATTTTTAGTTTTTAATACTTCTTAAATTATAGAATTCTCCAGAAACTGAAAGAAGATATTTACTTGTAAGTAATACTATAAAATTAATTATAAAGAAAATAAAACTTTGCCAAAAAGTAAAGATTAAATTTGATTAAGAAATTTGTCTTTTAAAATTTATAGTTTCTCTATAGTAAATTTTACATGAAAATTAAGTTGGCCGACATTTAAAAATTTTTAAAATTTTTATTTTTATTGAAAAAATGATTAAAAAAAAATTTCACTCGTAAAAAACTTTAAAAACTGTAGGTGCAATTTTTTAAAAATATTTTTTGTTCTAATTTAATTATTAAAAAATTAAAATCATCGGCTACTCTTAGTATCATAAATTTTACTAAGAATATATTTTAAAATTATTTCTAAACGTTAACCTTCATTCTTAATTTTTAATACTCTTTAAATTATAGAAGCCATAAAATTCTTTCATTCAATAACTATACATTGAAAAAAATAAAATTTAACAGTAAAAATAAGAAAACAATAAAATTTGCATTTAGGTATATTAATTAGTTTTCATGCTCGTGTGTTTACATTATCCATTACATGTCATGAGAAAGCATCAAAGTTCTACTTGCCTACTTGATTCAATTCGTCACGATAATGCGGTAATTTCCTCCATGGCAACACTTCAATAGTTTGACTTCCATGCTAATGTTGCGTGATTACAGTCGATTATAAGATAGGGTATGATCATCAAAAGCATTTTATTACATTGATTCAACAATGATTACACCCACAATCACTCAGATCTTTAAATATTTTCACATTTTTATTTTTTAAAAATTTAGCAGATAAATTATTTATGGACTGTATCACACTCGTAAACTCATAAACTGCTTGTCATTGTTTTAGACAAATTTAAAGCTTTCTAAACACTAAATAGACTGTAACACTAATGAGTTTTCCTTAAAAAAAAATCAAGTATTTCCAACATTAATTAGCGTATTTTTTACTTTCACTAATTTATTTCTCAGCAAGATTTTTTTTTTCCTCCAAGTAAAAACGTAACATATGGCAGAAAAAACTAGAGAGAAATTTGCACAAGTAATTTTTTCCTGTACATAAATTTTCGATCGAAACTTTAAAACTTTACAAATTAAACGGATCTACACAAGAGAAATTATCTTATTGCATCGTGTATTATTGATGCATTCTTCTTTCGCCGTGGAAGTTAATAATCGATAATTTTTGGTATGACATCTAGTAGAACTTTAGTTTTTATTCATCTATCATCAGTAAAACATCAATGGACGATTACAATGAAGGTATACGAAAAAAAGAAAACTCGAAAAATTACAGTGTATAATCCAACGTGGCGCTTCGTGATGAAAACTGAAAAAAATTATAGTTTCAAATTGTAATTATTACAGATTTTATAAGAATTACATTGAAAGCTCTGAAAATTAAATTTGAAAATTGAATTTAGAAAAATGTTATTACAAACTGTAATTTTTCTAGTTTTGATTACGACGGGACCGATTTTACATTTTATACTGCACGGAAAAAAGTAAACTGTAATATTCACTCGGATTTCGGTTAATTTTTATAGTTTCAAACAGTAAAGCGGACATCGGGGTGGCAAAAATATAAATATTACAGAACTTAATGTAGAAAGTATAAAAGCCACAATTTATAATTTAATATCCAAAATAAGTGATAAGTAGCTGTCACTATAGTAAATAACGACTCTTTCATCTTAAAAAATTACAGTTTCAAACAGTAAAAATTGCCATTTCAATATATAGACCATATTATGAGGAGAAGGGGAACTCTGGGAGAATTTAACATTTGAAACAGTAAAAATTATACTTTTAAAATATACATTTTACCAGTCCAAGCAGAAGTCAATAATTACAATTTGATTTTTAGCGTTGCGTTTAAAATTTACCATTTTACTTTGTAAATATTGACGTTGCTTGTATTAAAAATTTACTAATTTTATTTTATACTTTTTACATATCATAAGATCATTTTTTAGGTACGAATTGATAAATATCAAAGTCTGAATTCTTAATTATTATACTTAAACATTTTAGACATTTACATAACGAATATTACTGTTTGAAATAGTATTTTCTTCCATGTAAAGAATAAATTGTAACGTTTAAATGGTAAATATTATATAGTGAATAGTAAAATCACGATTTTACTGTTTGAAATGGTAATTTTTAGCAGTTGATCATTATACTTATTATAAATCGACTGTTATTTATTACAGTTTACTTTTTTCCGGGTACCCGATAATTTAAAAAAATTTTATTAACGGATTTTATTGAGAAAAAATATTTTATCAGGATTTTCCTATGCTGTGGGTTGGAATCCGCTTATGCTTAATTTTATCGGTGCGTGGCCATTCAAGTCTAACAAGGGAATTAAGAAATACAAAATATGGTTTTCCTTTTTTTGTGTGTTAATTTTTATATGGATTCCACTGACAGCAAGTGTTTATCCACTTTGGGGAAATATGGACGCCGTTATTGAATGTCTATCCATAATTATTCCACTCATTATTGCTCTGATGAAATTGGTCATTTTTTATTACTATAAAAAAGGTAATTTAATTTATTTTGCTTGATAATTTTTTCTGACTGCGTGTCTTATTATTTCAGAAATGCGGATATTGATTAATTCAGTTGCTAAAGATTGGGCGGTTGCGAGAAAAAAAGAAGAAAAATTACCGATGATAAAAATGGCGAAACTAAGCAGAATAATTTCAATTATTTCTGTTTTTCTTATCAACATTACTATTATTGCATATTTACTATTTAAGGTTGATTGGATGAAATAAAATGGATAGTTAGATTATTAAATAATCCAAGTTAAATTTCAGATTTGGCTGGCATTAAAAATGAAGAAAGAACAAATAATCAACGATTCAAATTTAGTTTTTAATCTTCTTTATACAGCGTATTTACCTTACTCTACTAGAGAATATAAATACTATTTACCCACTTGGGCTGTTCAGTGTTTCACGACATACTTCTCAACAACTGCCTACGCATCCTTTGATAGTTTCTTGTCCATGATTTTGTTACATATTTGTGGCCAATTAACAGTTGTTGGAATATCACTAAAAGATCTTATTAACAAAACAAATTCAGAAAATTTATATCTATTCCAAAAGAATTTTGGACGAATCATAAAACGTCACGAAGAGCTAAACCAGTGAGAATTAAGAAAATCATTTTTTGTGCTTCATTGATAAAACGATGAAATAATTTTTAAATCAATTTTTTTTAAGGTTGATTAAATTGATCGATAATTCTTTTTGCATTATTTTGCTCCCTCAAATGCTTGTATGCACTTTGGCATTTTGTTTTCAAGGCTACGTTTTAGCTTCAGTAAGTAACAGATGAATGAAAAAACTACTTCTAGTAAATTAATTTTTTTTTATACTAAAATAAATTTTATTACAAAAATTAAATGAGTTTTCAGAGTTTGATTGATAACGAAAGTAATGATATGTCGATACTTGAAATGATGTTTTTTAGTTCATATATGATTTACACTCTTATTCATCTTTTTATTTATTGTTATATTGGTGACTGCTTATCTTACAATGTAAGTCTAGATCAGAAGTCAGTCTTTTTAAGTTTAATAATTTACAAAAGGCTTGCAAACATCTGAAACATTTGGAAAATTTTTCATACAAAAAATTTTAACTAACATTTTCTCCTTAGAGTATGTCAATAAATCAATGGTGTTATGAAAGCAAATGGTACAACTTACCTTTCAAAGAAGCTCGATTATTGATATTTATTAATTTTCGTACATACAAGCCTCTTGTTATAACAGCCGGGAAATTTTGCGCATTCTCAAGGCATCTTTTTCTTGTTGCAAGTATAACTTTATAATATTTCTTTGCAATAAGTTTTGTACCAACCAACTTTTTTTTTATTAGTGATAATAATAACTCTTTCAGATTTTAAAGACTTCTTTTGGCTATTTGTCAATGCTTTTGACAATAAAACAATAAATTATTAATTTTTCATAGTAATTCTAGTTTTGAAAATTTCGTGCAGTGGATGAATTTTTCCTTCTCTCGGAAACTGTATTTAATTTGTGTATAAAATGTTATTATGTTATATGTCACTTAGCTTATTTGCATATATTAAAATGTTTTTGATATGTTACAGCGTGTAAAAACATAAGTTTTTATATATTTTTATACTTTTCTCTTCAACCAATCAATAAAATTTGTTTTTGGTCAAATGATTTATTTATTTTTTATATTCACAGAAAATTATCTATCGTTTATGATTTTAAGAAGAAGAGATAGATTTCAATAAAAAAAAAAAAATATAACAATTATCTGGATGAAAATTTTAAAACTGAATAAATATTACGAACCATTAAAATAGGAATTATTTTATATCATGCAGTCACATATATCTTTAACTAATTTTTTTAAATCTCCTAACACTTCTTGGTTCTTTTTCTTTTTCTTCAACTTTTTTCATTTTCGAAAATTTATACTTTAGTACTCGCACGTTCTCCGTCATTGAATGGTTTGTTCCTACGCTTCGTCGGGACCTTATCTTGTCTGTCATTAATACCTCGCACATATTTTGTTTTTATTTAATTGATATTTAATTCTCACGAATAAGCTGTCACTAATGGTTTAGTTGCCAGCTAATTTGTCGTGAATCCAGCCTTGAATTATCTTTCATTCTATCGGAATAGACGAGTTAATTAAAGGAATAATTGATACAATAGATCAATACCATAAATAAATTTGGCGTTTTCAGAACTTGGTTGATAGCACGAATAACGACTTGTCAGTTCTTAAAATAATGTTTATTGTTGCACACATGGTTTATACGATTTTATATCTCTATATTTATTGTTATATTAATGGTCATCTCTTCTTTGAAGTAAGTACCACAATGTTAACATGTTTTAATAATAAATAATAATTTAATTTTACAATTTTTATTTTAAACATTCATTTATTTCTACAGACCACTTCAGTAAGAAAAAGTTGCACAATACGAAAAAATGAATTCGACAAGAAATTAGAAAGTTATATTAAATAAACGACTTTTTAAAAATTTGCTATGATGACATTTTTGGAACAAATCAATTGATTTTGATGCGTTAAGTAAAATTCGATTTTTAAGTTATGACAAAAGAAACCTTTTTGAAAATTTTTATTTTTGAGATTTGAGACATACAAAATAGCTTCTTTAGATCTCAAAAAAATAGGACTTATGACAATGACTTTTTTTTTTAATTTCTAACTTTATTTATTTGTTAAAAATTTTTTGATACTCGAGAATTTAAACAACTGAAAAAAAAATATTTTTAAAATATTTCACATAGTAATTTCCTACTTTTTAGTTATTACAAATATAAGTGTTAATAAAAAAAAGTAATATTTATTCACTTTATTGATTTATATTAGCATTTAAAGTCCCCTCGAATATCATAGTTTTTTTTTTTTCATTTTTTTTTCTTATTGAGTTACTTTACTGTCCACTGACAACTTAACAATTCAATTCGACAGATGGTCGAACATATCGGCTCGCCAATTATCTCATGGTACCATGATTTTTTAATTCAACTTTTAAACTGTTCAGTATTGCGCGGTTTCCGTATATAGATTTTTAACGATTACCTGGTCACTTACACTTTGATTGTCGTTGAGACAGCATTGATGGAAAACAGCAAAGGTAATTTCCTAAGTTCTTATAAAAATATGAAATCAAAATAAAATTTATCATTGATTATTATTATAATATTACTTTAAACAAGAAAGGCTTCAAGTATGCAATCGCCTGGAACCGAACAAGTATGAAAATCGTCGGTCTTTGGCCTGAACCCGACGATGGAGTAGTTACCAAACTAAGGGGCTGGTTTAGTGCCTGTTTGATAATACTGATAATTTATCTTCCGCAATCAGCTAGTGTGTATTGTTATTGGGGTAATATGGATGCTGTCATCGAATGTCTTTCAATAAACGGACCAGTATTGATTACAATTGTTAAGATTATTATTTTTCGGTATAGTAGAAAAGGTAAATTGGGAATAAATTTTATTTTTAACATTTTAGGTTTTAATAGGGGCGGGGGGGGGGGTC